AATGATCATTGTCAGAATCTAAAGAGTACCAACTCGTGGCTTACCATTTCATGATATTGATAAGACCTTTCATATTTATTTCAGCCCTTAAATTGTTTTCTAGGCAGCTATTAAATTGAACATGCCTCTATAAAAAAAATATTTATCCATCTAAGAAATGGAGTGTAGCATGTGCAGTATGTGAGTGGGCTCTGTTCTATGGGAAATATTCCACAAAGATAAAAAGAATAATCAAATTTTTAATGGTCCATACAGCCAACAAGATCATTGTTTAAAGGATAATAACTTCTTTGCTTAAGAAACTAGTTTTTTGACTGATTTTGAATAGTTATCCTATTTTATTGTGCGTTCTACATAGTTATGCACATGTTAAAAATGTGATTTTAGAAATGTAACAAGATAATTTAGGTAGCAAGCCAATATCACCTATCAAGATAAAAATCAGTTCAATGTGATTGTTACTTGTTTGATGATGTCGTACCTCTGCTGTCTTTATTTGTAATGAAAGTTGATATTCATATTTATTTTATAAATAATAATCAAATAGAGGTTCCTAGACTGTAGTGGGTGTACCATTTGAAAATTGAAATACATGTTTTGATAAAATACAGCGGAATGTGTGAGAGTCATTAACCTGATTTTCATAAAAGAAAAACTCTCTTATTAACTTGACATATATATTTGATAAAAATTAAATCATGATATAAAATTAATCTATCGGTTATATTTCTTTAGATACATGATTTAAGTTAAATATAACAAATATTATTCAGTTTGTAATAATATTCAAAGGCAGCAATTACTTTTTCGTTTGTATTAATGAACTTAGTACTTTCATAAATTCAAAGAAAATTTTAAGTGCAATTGAGGATAGTACAAAACTTGAGATCCATAAAGATTTATTTTTTAGCTTCACACTGTAGTAAGATATTTGTGATTTGACACTCTTTTAAACTTCATTACTTTATTAATCTGTTAATTTCCTCTCCTTCTATTTTTTTTACACTCCTAATCCCCATAATTTCATAGTTGAAGAATAGATGCAGTAAAAAAAAAATTGACCTTTTATATGTTAGGAATCTTTTAAAATTTGAAATGATTCAACTTTGTGAAAAATTTATTTAATTTATTTTTGTCCCCTTTTCCCTTTTACAACCTGTTAATCTGGAGAGTCGGTTAATCAAGAGTCAGTTAATGAGTTTCTGCTGTGGTAGAAACTTGTTTACAGTTTATTACTTAAAATAATAATATTTAATTATATAAATTAAATTTGCTTAAAAAATTTTATGAGTAAAATATTAAAAAAAATAAATATAAAATAAAGTTTAAAAAAGACCAAATCAAAAGATTATCAATTTATCAAAAAAGCAACTGAGAGTATGTAAAATAATTATTTATCATGTAAGAGAATTTTTTCTAAAAAAAAAAGATATTTGGGTGTTCTGAAGGAGAGTATTGATATATTTCAGTTAGAAGCATTACTTGCAATCAGATTACAATATATTACTTGCAATTATTACTTCAATGCTAGGGTTGATTAAACTCAACTTGGTTTCCAAGTCCTTCAACATTCTTCAACACAAAGTGAATTTTTCTTTACTCCCACAAGTATCACAGATTATTATTATTAATTGTAGATCATTTTTATTCATATGATACGTTCAATAATAATTAAAAAAAAAATATTATCCCTTATTGAACGAGTTAAAAGATATTATTGTATTGGCTTTTTTTCTTGTTCATGTATCATCTGGAGCATTCTTGTATATCATAGTTTGGGTACCTTTAATCTAAAGCATGATTAAAGAACATAATGTAATAATAATATGAAAAAGTTTAGCATTGACTGATGCTTCATGACTGTTGAAAGATTGTCATGCTGTTCTAACCAGAATAGTCTTAAATATTAAGACTGCCACGGAATAAACAATCTAAAACATAGAAATCAAACCAACTCTGTTCCAAACCAGGCACACTTTTCTTAAAGTGCTGTCATCACATGCTAAGCCTTTGACTATAAACTATGCTAAATCAAATCAAGTAAACTTTTTTTATTGATTCCTGCTATCAAGAAAGGAAGGCATTCCATCTAACAGCCAGAAAATCTATTTGTATAAGTAAAATTATTTAAGTAATTTAAGATTTCTCAGATGTTGCATACGTTGGTAGTTAAATATGAATAGTATAAAAACAAATATTTACTAACCACTCAAGATAGCCATTTATTCTCGGGAAACAGGTGGCTCAAATAATCACTGTTATATCTGAAAGTAAGAAAAAAAATCATTTAGTTATGTTATAATCACATGATTATCAAACTTCATAAATCTTGAATACTTGCATGCATATGGTGATTATTTATAACAATTTAAGAGAAAAGATAATACACACACTCACGTTCACACACACATACCATGCCTGGTTAGTTTTATGAAAAATGAGCAGCACAATATGTATAGTGTGAATAAAAACCATTTATAAAAAAAAGTACCTTAAGGAGGGTTTCGTAGGTGTCCTATTTAGTGTTTGATTTGATAGATTTGTTAAGGATTTAGTAGAAAGTCATTCGGGTTGGGGTTGTCCCCCTCTCCCATGTTGCCGGGCTGGAATCTGCACAGACAAACCCATTCTCTCTTGCAATTTTGCTTTTTTTTCTATCTTTTTTTTGTTTCTAAGTTTTTTTTTGTTTTTATTATGAAATTTTTTAATAAAATTCTACACTTTAATTTAGTTAATAGCAAGTTAATGTTAAGAAGTTTAAAGCTGGGTTATTTGTGTTAAGTGATGACCTCCCTTTAAGCTGATTTAACTACTGTTCATACTAAAGAGACAATTGATGATGTGCGCAGAAAGCTTCACGTCATAGGAATAACATGCTTTAGGGTGTTAAAATTAATTTTCCTTTAGGAATAATAAAGCCTTGATTGTTTTGAAATTTGAATTAGTAATGTTAAAATGAGTAAAGATTAACAAAAAAGGCCCAAACCAAGTATAATTGGGATAAATTGCACAATTTAACTAGTAGCAAGGCAGAAATTAATGGATCCAAGGCAAAAACAAAAAAAAATAGTAATGATTCAACAAAAAAAAGGAAAAAAAAGCAGTTTATAGGAAAAAAAAACTGTTATAGATATTATTAACATAAATCCATCTCACAACAGATTTCACAAACTAAAACTTATTTTACACTATGGTCGGTAGGGCCTAATTTGTTTTGTAATGGTTAGTGGCAAACAATATTTGATTTTATTGATTTGATTTGTCTATTCTGTAAAGAGCACACTACCTTTACAGATAATTATACTAAAATAACCTTAAACCCTTAGTTTAGAGGCACACCATTAATATAAGGTTTTTAGCAATTGTGAAAATAAGGCCTAGACATTAAAACAGTTAGAAAGTGTTAAATACAGGCCTGAGTGGAATACAGATAGAAACGTACATTGTGTTATGTTAATGCTCCTTTTCCTCATACGCTCCAAATGCCACATCTATATAGTCCTCCTCTTCTCCATTGCAGGCCCACCATATCCATCAATCCATCAATCAAAAAATCTCTCCAAACAGACGCCAATCAGTATTTCTCATCATAAAATAGGGTTATATATTTAACAGAAATTACCATTCCAGATTTTTTTCCGAATATTTCATCTTGTTCTTTAAAAGAATTTTTTTTAAATTACATACTTAGAAAAAAAATTGTGTTGAAGGAAGTGAAGCATGGATGTATCAAAAACATTTGTGGAGTGGTACTGGATTAAGAAATGATACATTACACAAATTAAATTGTTGTGAGTTGGATTTATTCTCTTTTTAATAATAATAAAAAAAAATAGTGTATATTTAAATCAATAACTAAATACAATTCAAAAACTTCAAACTACACATTTAGAGAAGCAAAATAATAGAAATAAGGAATAATCGTTCACTATCTAGTCCTGCCATTGTTGAGATACCTAACAAATATTCTAATTGTTAATTATTTAATTTCAGAATTAAATTATAATTTTAGTTGTATTACAGCTGCTCGGTTAATAATTTTAGGAGATTCTGTTTTCACTCAATATTTTTCGACCGTCACCAAATTAATTAAAAGCACCATGAAAATGTCATGCATTGCACTTGGGCATCTCCTTAATCCAAAAAATTTAAATAATTGTTAAATTGTATATAAAGCTGATAGTGAACGATTATTAAAAACAAATCTGATATTTAATAAAAAAAAAAAAAAAAAAAAGAAGAAGGAAATGTTCTGAATTTTATAATGTAAATTTGAATTTGTCAGATTTCTCAAATAAAATAAAACTTTTAAGTTAGTTGAAGTGATTTCTGGACTCTAAGGGTCCATTCATTTATTTTTTGTATAATTACATTAAAAATAATTACGTGATATTCAGTATTAGGAACTATGTTACGGAAAATACATTAATAAAAAATAATTTACAAATTATATTAAACTTTCATACACATTTAATTAATAAATTAAACACTGTACATATTGTGGCTACTTACTCATTCAATATAAACATAAATGGCGATTGATATAAAAAATGCTTCATTTTATAATATTTACAGTGTTCGTACAGTTTTCTCGATATTTTAGAAGACATAACTATACAAAATATTGCACTTAGGTCTGAAGATCTCTCAGTTACTAAATTAGAGATTCGTTTCAACAGATCCTTTCAGACAATAATTCACAATAATTATTCTACATATATAACAGTTATTCATAATACTTTCCATGATCCCTTCCATCAAGACATTTAGGGAACATAGGTAAAAGATAAATTAAGACTCTGACTATCTTTGGTTGTTAGATTAAAACGTATTAAAAAAAAAAAAAGAAAAAAAATACACTACTCGTCTCTCTTTTCCTTCATTGAGTATATATAAATTTTTACATATTACTTTCCTATAAATACGTAAGTCGTTTTCATAAACGTCGATTCCTTGTCGCAGGAGAGACAAATAATTTAATTACATATTCATTATTTTACTTAGCAATAAAAGGAGGAGGAAATGCCCAGTTTGCAAGTGTAGGGTTTAGGCCTATACATACTGCTGCGGTTGTAGACATCTTTGTTCTCACACCTTTGTCCTTTGAATCCTTCAGCACACCTGCAAAAATAAAATATTTTTGTAAATTACTAATGTGATTTGTTACTTACAATTTTTAAAATTATCAAATGCCCAGCCTGCCCAAATAATTTGGCTGACAATGGGTGATTAAGGTTGAAACATGAATGATTGTATGTATGTTTTGTTATATTGCATTAAAAATAAAAGTAACATGAAGCAGATAAATAACTTACTGGCAGACTAATTCTCCAACCGTCTCGTAATATGTACACGTTCCATCATTGAGGCAATAGTTGGCTATCGGACAAGGTACTCCATAGAGCGGCCACAGTGTAGTTGCTGTAAAATTTAAAACATATCATCAGATAAGCGAAACAATATTTCTTATCAATTTTAAATTAAATGACAAATTTAATGTAATCAAATTAAACTGATTTCAAAAATAAAAATGTACTACTAATGTATAAACAACTTTGCTGAAGCTATGAATTAGAGATTATTAAAATCAATGTTGTAACATTAACAACTAGTAGTGAAACATTAAATTTGATATAATTATAAAGAGCTGATTGCATTACATGACAAATTAAGGTATAAAAAGTAATTAAAAAAATTATGGGTTATTTTATATATATTTTTTAATATTATTCTGAATATTCCTTTATTTTTAAACTGACTCTTGATTATGAATTTTAATTAGCATTATTTAATACCACTACATAAATATTCCTAAAAAGCTTTATCGAAAGTTAAAATTAGCTTACCAAAGTTAAATTACAAACTTTCTAAGTGAAATTTTAACTATAGCATAAGTAAATATTAAACAAAACTCTCAACACTATCAATTACAAAAGTTACGATTAAACAAAATTTAATAGTTATAAATAACAATTAATTGTAGAACCAGTTGAATTAAAAATGTTCTTTTCTTTCGTTATAAACCTTGTTGTTTGAATAAATATAATAAAAAAAATATAAATTAGTAAATATGATATTAATTAATAGTTATTGATAAGAGCATTTTGATAAGAACTTATTTGTGAGGCGTAAGCATGGGGAAATTTTTGTACATCCTAAATGAAATATTACAAAATTAATCAAGAAAAATCTCCAAGATCAAACAATCCAAGTCTTTAATACCCATCAGCAACTGATTATCTCTATTTAAGACTTCAAACTATTTTCTAAGTAGCTGAATGATAAAAATAGGATGGAATCTAAAATGCCTTTCAGTAATTTATTTTCTTTTATATACTTAAAGATTTTTATGAAGAGAGGATTATAGTATAGGGAAAATCTGTTTATTGGAATAATTATGTAGTTACCAAGAAGCATATTGTGAATAGATAATTAAGTATTAATTAGGTAACTAATGAAGTGTTTGATAAGCTTCTAACAGATCTACTATTATTTAAAAATGTCTGCCAAGTAAGATCAGTAAAGCTTCCTCTTTTTTCATTGGCTAAAAAATATCTACATTACAAAATCTACAAGTTTTCGTATGAGAACAAAATCTCTGGAAATTTTATTCCTTGTAATTCCTCAACATATTCAGACTTGATATCCATGAGTTTCGTTTATCAGCAAATAATAAAATGCGAAGGAGTTCCATATTTGCAGATCGCATATTTGATGATTCGTAATTTAAAAAATCCAGTGCATATCGCTACTATTAAGCACTTCAGGGAAGAGGAGCTGAAGCTCCCAGCCAGTGCCAGATTTCTGAAACTGTAATAAGATAGTTAAGGTTTGAATTGTTCATATTGAACAAAAAGTCGCAACTGGTTGGTAGAAAATATATCTATATTGAATCTAACAGTGAAACTATTCAAGTTTCTTTTAATTTGCTGGAAAAAATTTTGTTTTACTTACTTTTCATCGACCTACAATAACATTTTGTCAAATCAAATATTTGAAGAAAGCGGACAGATTAACATCAGGCTTCTTATGAATTTTGGTAATTTTCATTATGAATTAAAGTAATCTGTATATTTTTTGTTCCCTGGCAGGCATAAATGAACTGTGTTTATATCAAAGAAGAATAAAGACATTAGAAAAGAATATAAACTGGGGTCGTTGTATGTATATAAAGGGACAAAACAGAATAAGAAATAAAAGGATAAGAGACATGGTGGTGGGAAAGAATTAAAAAGCATCTTTTGATTGGAGAACATCGTGGGTGGCACCAATCAGACTCTTCCCTTTTGTTGTTCAGGAGGCAGCTATCTACCAACCACGGCCTCCTCTATCTCTTCCCGATGTTGATAAACATTAAAATATCGCTATTTATCTGGCATTGGGATCATCAAACGGGTGGGTCATTGCCAAAGTCAGAACGGTCATCGGTCGGAAAGGAGTCGTATTTTAGGCTGAGACGCACGAGCCTTCTCTCTATTCGGCCGTCCTTTTGAATTAATAGACTTGAAAAAAATCATAATCAACAAAGATTGATAGATATTTGGATTTATCAAACGTATAAACAGTTAAAAAACAAAACAAATCATCACGCTTTGAAGAGAAACTATTACTATATGCAGCCGGTTCATTCGCATAAATGGAATTCATTTGAAAAAAAAACACTTATATTATGGGTCGAAACATCTTTTCGTTTCACATAAAAACATGGAGAAATGTTTTTACAACTTTATGATGATACAATTGAAAAATATCGATGGTATCTTTCTGTCACGTGTTGCAGACAGAGGAGGTACTAAGGAGAAGCAACGGAGGGAAGCACTTGCTCTTGGAGGCAGAATTCAGGGGGTGTTAAATCCAATGGAAAATTTATTTTTTACGTTGCATAAAAATATATTAGTTTATTCTTTCTGATTTTTTAACGCTTAATTCAATCAATGAAGCAAGTTAATGATATGGGATTTTTTCTTCTTCTTTTTTTCCTCTTTCTCGCCTCTTTGGCTATACGGGGTAAATATTATGGGATAGCATTTATTTACCTATAGAAAAAATATAACCTAACATACTATAAAAAAATTGTTGACTTTTATTGGAGGAAGGGGTGATTAAGTTCGTCCCTCAGTAAAAAATCATATTTCCGTCTATGGTTGCTTCAGATAAATAAATAAAAATTAATGAAAGTTGTTTTGAAACATCATAAACATAAAAATTACTCTCTTTAAAAAAGCGAGGCATTTATTACATTTTATTTTGGGGCTAGCTAAATGTTCAGTAACGATATGACGGTTGGTTTCTCACATACATGAATGGTGGTACTCATAACGTATATGAGAAACCAACAGGCAAATTGTTATTGAACATTTAATTAGCCCAAAACGACTAGATATAGTTAGGGGATATAAATCAACTATAGATTAAACTTTCAAAGACTGAGTAATTCTTTATTTTTTAGAAGCCGAAAATCGGCTTTCAGCTTCAAATTAAGATTGGGTACAAACAGTAAATGGTGAAAAATAACACAATCCACTCAATTCATTTCCAGCTATATCTTTGCTACTCACTGACGGGTTACCTGCACCATTGGTACCCAACTTATTTTATATTTTTACCTAGATCGCCTAGATGGATAAAAGAGGCTAAGATGTGCTACAATTAACTATCACTCCATTTAACCTAATTTCTGAGCATCAAGTGAACTTGATGAGAAGCTATACTGAACTAGATCTCCGGGATCTCTCCTAGAACCACGTACTTCTACTTCTAGGAAGTCCTTCACTTAATGTCTACTGATTTCTTCTTCTCTCTTAACTGGGGCGAAACGCCGAAGTATCTCTCACCGGCAACGCTTTCTAAAACCATAACGTCTTAAAATTGACAGCAAGTTTATATACATTTTCTTAAAGGGAAATATAATCCCAAGTAAAGTTCAAAATAAATAAATGTTAAGATATGATCTTGAGTGTTAATCTAAGAAATGATAGAGAATTTCAAACATTATCATTATCTTATTGCTATTTGTCTACTATATTCTATTTCTCTTCTTTATATTTAGATTCATAAACAGCTCATATCTATGAGAAAGTTTAACATGCCTGCTCGTAATACTCTAATTCTTTCAATTTTTTAAGTCAACAATTAGCGTTTCGTCCCTGACAGATTCGATTCCTGATAACGATTAGTGTCTTTTCGAAGAGCTGGGGTTCTTTTCTTCTTCTGTGGTTTTCCATTAAATGATCAAGTCAGGGGCTGAAACGAGGAATTCAGCTGCCTTCCTGAGGTTCACCAGGCTTCCACAGAGCTTTCTTTGCACCTAAGTTGGAGAGGGCCACATTAGCCTCCTTTGCTCAGAAAAGAACCTACATGTTTGAAGAATGTCTATCGGTAGAATCTATGTCGGTATTCTGGTCACCTTCTCCTCACTCGCAGCGAGGACTGGAGCCAAAAGAAATTTTCTGACCAGGTGGGCTTTGAGTTTGGATGAGGACCTGTTCTCGTCGATTAAGTTCGTAGGTAGATAACAATTAGCATAACGTCTCTGACAGGTTCACTTCCCGATACTCAAGAGAATTTTCACTAAGAGAAAGAGAGGAAACATCTAAAACTAGTTTAACTCTGTCTAATCACTAAAATTAAATCTCGGTATGAACTTCGTTGTCTTGAAGAATTTTATTTTTATTTCAGCAATAAATTGTGCTCAAGTTCATCTGAAACCGGTCCTAATTACCATTTTTATTAGCTGTAACCCGTATTTATTATAATATTCACAATAAAAAATAGTAAAAAGATAGATGATTAAATTACACATGGTATGGAAAAGTATAACAATAGTAAGACTCAACATTTTTACCTACTGTTTTCTAGAAATTGAATCTACATATAAATTTAAACTTTTATAGTACTTCGGGAATGCAGTTAATCATTTAGTCATTAATTTATGGATATAATGAAGTTTATGTTTTGGGAATCCGGTAATACGAAAATATTTGTTGTTTGTGTGGTCTCAGACACTACGACTAGCAAGAGCAGTAAACCCGGTCGACTGGTTTGTCCGACATGTGTTTGTTCCATTTTTGAAAGAGGCGCATTTTAACCGTAAAAGGCGGTCCAGTCGTAAGTCCTCCCTTCTGATCTCTCTCTCTCTCTCTCTCTCTCTCTCTCTCTCTCTCTCTCTCTCTCTCTCTCTCTCTCTCTCTCTCTCTCTCTCTCTCTCTCTCTCTCTCTCTCGCTCTTTCTCTCTCCCTTTCCAGGCCGGACCACTCTAGGGCTCATCTCATTTAGATCCATTTTTTTTTTGTGGAATATAAAAACATAATAAAGATTCGCTATGCGGCCATTACGACCAAGAGCCCATCAAAATAACTGGGTTAACTGCACTTTGATATGTTAATTGATTTCATAACTCTATTAGGAGAAGCTGCGGTCAGTCTTTTATATATTCATCTTTTTTAACTTATTGGGTCCAATTTAAAAATTTAAAACAATTTAAAAAATGTTTCAGAATTTTCATACAATGCGTCAGGAAGGTGATCATACTCAATGATTCAATGTTAGATAGTGGTATTTGTTGCTTTTTTGGGAGGCATACTTAATCGTTATATATTTTCGATGATTTTTTGGAGAAACTTACAAATTATTATGAGCATAATGGTTATATAAATTTTAATTTTTTTTTTGTTATAAGCAAATAAAATTCTTTTTGCTTATTTTTTTTATGAAGTGAAGGAAAAAACAATCTTTAAAACGATAGTCCATTCACTGCTTTTAGTTAAATATTAACGAAAATATGGCCATCTTACGGAAAGAAAACAGCTTTGATATATGAAGACAATATAATAATTGTTATTTAATTGAATTTAACTTGAGAAGGCTAAGACAGAACTCTGAGAGCTGTGGCTTGAAGCTCTGTTGGTTATGATGAAAGGTATAGAACGGATATGACCAATGGCTGGCCTCGCTGTGTTCAAGGACCTAGTCAATGAACCAAAACCTTTAAATTGTTCGCATCTGTCGGCAGATCTCCTCCACGGCCTTCTGTGTCTTCTACGAGAAACTCCAAAGGTGAATTTTATCTATTTGATCAAGAGTAAAAGAATTGCCTCAATAAAACGGTTTTAGAGAAGCACTAGCGGATCCAGGATTTTATTTTGGGGGGAGAGCTTCAGCCGAAACCTTTTTTTTTTCATAAAAATAACGATAATTACTTTGGGAAAACAGAAAGAAACTAACTACCTATATGAAATGGTGTTTAAGTTATTCCTAAAGTACTTTTAAATGTAATTACACGAACAATAATACTTTAAGAGATATTTAAAAAAAAAAAATTTCCCATAAAACATCGTTATATTTTTCCATTTTGGGGGGGGGGGGGAGGGCTTCAGTCCGAAAGCCCCTCCCCCTCCCCCCCTGTAGGTCTGCCCGTGTAGAGAAGGTATCCTTTAAAGGGAAGGTGGCTTGACGATAGCAAAACTTGGCATTTATAAGGCAAGCTATAATAAGATACAATTCGGAATTCCAACATTTCCAACATTTTTGCTAAAAATGACTTGAAATATATATATATATATATATATATATATATATATATATATATATATATATATGAATACATGTACATATGCATATGTATAATATTAATATTTGTTTACTACAGCAAGGATTGATTATCTTTTTTGAATGAATGAATGAAAAATAATTTTATTCTGGGACTGAATTCCCCTCAGAATAACAGCGGAGTTCAAAACATATGTACATCAGTCTGGCATTTAGATATAATACAGATATATACAAAAAAACTAACGAAAATTCAAATATTCACAGAAAAATAATAACTTTCTTAAAATAACTTTCTTATTTTCAACCTCCACAATTAAAATGTCATCTAATCGATTCAGCAGTAGTATCTTTCATGCCCAATGGATATGATAGACTAGGAACTAGTTCTATATTTATTCAACAGACGAACGAAATCGTAAAGATATCGATTCTCATAAACGATAACCCTAATCGGATTGAATTAGGTTCTTGAAGTCTTGCAATACAAACCAGGCTCATTTTGGATGACATTTGGATTGAAATAGGTCAGATTTTGAAGTTGGATTCTACTGAAAGGTAAGAATGTGGAACTGTCATAGAAGCTATGTGGAACATAAAATCAATAATGTTTGATGAACGGCTTAAGTTAAAAAGTAAAGTAGCATGATCGAGTGCAGTTTAAAAACTGATGCACTACAAGATGTCAATTTTTTAAGATTTATTTTATATTTTATTTATTTTAGACACAACAATACTTGAAATGGTTCTGGAATTTATTCTAAAATATTTAACATGACAAAATGAGTAAAAATCAATCGCGTAAGACGATTTCGGACCGCGCGTTTTCAAACAACTGATTTTGGTAACAAAAACCTATTTTGGTAGAATCCATTTAATCAATTATTATGCAGCATTTAATTCTTATACAGATCTTAAAATGATTAAAATAATAATAATTTTAAGTTTTTTCAATGATGTTAAATCGATTCAATCATGTTTTAAATACTTATTTTATACAAATATATAGCTTTGAAAACGCGCTTTTCTGTTTGGTATTACGCGACTGATTACTGACTTATAATAATTTAAGTAATTTTATTTTTAAGTCTTTTCTATACGGTTGAATCTATTCAACGGTGTTTAAATTCACTTTTTCCTCTCTCATTGGCCCAAGACGTCCACTGAAGTCCTGTGCTGCCCTTAAATGGATTCAATAGGAATTTGATTTACATCAGTTATAGAATCTTTTGAGTCGTCTTACGCGATTCATTTTCAGTTATCTTGCACAGGCCTAATATTTTAGAAGAAATTGCAGCCTTAGAAGAAATATCCTACATTGTAAGCGGATAACAGATATTACTTACTAGGTAAATAACAAAATAAAATATACCAACCAATTTTCGGCCAACGAAAACATTACAGTACGAAAACATTAGTATTTTATCAACATTGCAACAGAATGATAAAAGACATGGCTATGGATGGCATGTATATTGATACGAAGAAGCAACTAAAAAGGAGCTGGATGAGAGATCTCCTTTCGGTGAATAAGGTAATGAAATATAGAACGGAAGGAGATGTTGCTGGGAACTGTTTTTCCTCATGCGGACATCCCCGGCGTGTTGGAACATTCCTATAGCCATCGAAGTTGTTGATTGTCGCTGGTACTTTTACAGGTAAGACAAAATATTTTTAAAAAATGTTCTAATAGATTAGACTTATTTCATTCTAGATTCAATAAAAACTAATTGTTTCTTTTAGGGATGTGCTATATCTGAAGAAGGTACTAGAGAACCTTCGAGAAGAAAATAATGATATAATTTGCTGCTGATTAAAGAGAGAGAGAGAGGCGGCTTGGGTTTCACTTGGCTGCCGGGCATGCGCTCAGAGATAAGTCTAAAATAAACCTAGCTCTATACACACACTCAGAGGAGTCTTATAAACTGATGCCAATCCCCTGACCAACGTGTCTCACCGGGTTCCCTATATCCCTCAGACTCAAAACGTTCCCGACCTTTATATTACAGCCTTCAGTCAATCAATCTTACAGGTCTGAGATGTTACTGAAAATTAAAAGTATTTAAACTTGAAATGCTATTAATATGGAATATACATAACGATTCATATAATCTGTAGAAAATTATTCGATGTGAGTATTTACTTTGAGCCATTAAATGCTTTCGAAAACAAGTAAATGTACAATATATCTCAAAATTAAAAATACAAATCACCAATTTTGAGGAGAATTCAGTTTGACATTACAATTGACTATTTAGTCACGTTTTACTTATTGATTATACTCGTTGATTGTTCTCTCTCATTTTCTTGTTTTCACCCAGTATAACTCATTAATTTTGTGTTTCTCTCGTGGCCTGTTTCTTTCTTTCTTTCTCTTGGATTTAATTATGTATCTAATAACCGTTATTTACACTTCTTTTCCCTTGCCTCTGTTTCTCTTGGTTTACACTGAGTTCCATATTAACGGACTACAAACGGAGTTAAAGGACTACAAACGAAAAAGAGTTTTTTCATAGGAATTCATCGTTGTAATTATGTTCCTTTATTTTGTATCTATTCCAAACGCCATAGAAATGTACCAAATTCGACTATTATTGACGGGAGTACTACAAGGATCAATTCTGAGTCCTATACTCAATTTTATATAAACACATGGCATACTGACGATACAACAATCATAATTAAACATCACGACCTTAGACCAATCTCGCTGAGTTTATAAAACCATTTACTAAATTCAGAAAAATGGCACTTTGGATATTATGGTCAGATCATGACAAATCACAACATATAACTTTTACCGCCGAGGAGGTGCATAACAGTTTATATTGGCGAAAACCAAATCCCTCAAACGGACACTATACGTTATCTTGGAGTAATATTCGACATAAGGATGATAAGGAGGCCCACACATTAAAGTAAATACAACGTGAAGACTTAAAACAAACGTCTACATATTACACTGGACAGACGCAGACTTCTAAACATGAGATGTTCATTAGGAGATGGACTGAAAAAAGGTTGGATGAAAGGTCTCCTTTTCTCAATTAAGGAACTAAATCAAGGAAATAAAACCAGGAAGAACTGATGCTGAGTACTGTCCTTCATGAAAACGAGAACCAACTTTGTAAACACATTTTTTGATTGTCATTGAAGTCTGTGACAGGTGCAAATAAAGATACAATGAGAAAAGAAAATTGTATCTAAAACACAATTCTATTTCTAATCATGAAATTATTTGATTTTAACACAATTTGAAAAAGGTTCGTACATTAAAACCTTTGAATAAAAACATTGAATGATCACTGCATTGAAAACAACAAAAGATATGATAAAACTCTGGAATCTATTTGGAATAATCATGTTAAGCTGAAATAAAAGAATTAAGTAATACAAGACGAAAGCGATTGCCTTTGAATTTTATATTTCTTAAAACATAAATCGTGCCCAATTCAAGTCACGTTCTGATTCTAATTATGTCAATTTAATATTTTAAGGATAAAAACGAGTTTTGTCTAATTTAGGAGAGCTGTTTAGTTAACCAATAAAGAATGCCCTCTTAACGTTGTGATATCATTAATGTGTTAATCAGATTTATTTTCTGTTCCATTTGATTTGATGGAATTTAGTATTACAAATTAGATGTTAGCTGTGTAGTGTATTCCGTATTATTGCCTGCTCTAGTAAGCTCTAGCGTGTGCTAAGTAGGCGAGGGCCGGTTTGAGATTATTTTTACATCCGGAGCAGCAGAATAGCCAACGACTGGGTGAGCAATACTCAACTGTCTATAGCCGATTGTAACATTTTTGTCATTTAATAGTAAACATGTTTAGTAGTACAACAAATAAATCATTATATTCAAGAGACTGAAGTTTCAATCAAATATAGTAATTGCCAAGTATCTTAGTGATCCGTTAGGTTAGCATAAAACATATTTTCGATGTCGCAGTTAAATAACTGCGAAAATTCGGCGATTTGAAAAGAAACTAGTATTTTGTGTTATGAAATTGCTCGAAACAATACATCGATACATTTCATCAATAGGCACATTCAGGTTTCTGAACGTTGGGTGGTAAGTATAGATAGAAAAGTCCATAGTATTTATAGGAATCTTTAATAATTAAATAACAAATTTATTATAATAATATAACGAAGTAATTCATTATTTCTCTCGGAAAATTAGTTGGTGGTTCAGCCACAGAGAAAATTAAAAATATTTTGTTTTTCATTATATTATAATTTTTGTAGATTTTAACATATTATTATTATATATTTACAATAAACTATTTCGCTGTTATAATTAATCCATTAGCCATTATTATTTCTTCCGAACCGAAGATAATAAGAATATTGGTATGTTCTGAAAATGGAGCTAGAGTCCTGAATCCTAAAGACTAAATAAATTTTATGGACATTATCTTAAAGCCCATTTTTCAAATAAATACGTAATAATAAGACGTGGAATTCTGAGGTTCGATTAGTACACCGTAAGAGACAGTCAATTCTCTATCAGTGACTGTACCCGTAATTCCAAAAATTTGTTTTCGTAATATAATTTATAAAATCATACTCTTTCCATACTTTTTTTTTTTACTCAACGAATAACCACATATTTAGCGAATGTTGAGTTCACAAAGTTTACAATGGCATTCAAGTTAGTAAATTTATATAATCCCATAAAAAAATAACATTGGAAAATACTCATTTTATACTGATTCATATAAAATTAATTCATATAAAAGAGAGAATTATAATATTATATTTTTCCCATTTTATCTCTTATATTAATAATTTCATTGCAGCATTAAATCACCATATTCATATATTATAGAACCAACTTATATTACTTCAGGATAACTTTTTTTTTCGAAAAGGCAGATGGAGATTTTAATATCAATGGTTTGGATTTGTTAAGATATCTCCCTCCTTTTAGCTTCCATAGGCAACAACTATGGTTAAATAAATACATATTTCTTTAGGTTATAATTGCAAAAATCCCAACCTAAATGTAGATAAAGGATAAAAAAAAAAAAAAATCATCAACTGTTCGTTAATCGAGTTCCTTGTAACTCGAAATCCTTTTCTTAACAAGATTGGAAGAGAATGTTCTATATTCAGACCAGACCGCTTCTCGCGAAGGCTATTTATATACAAAAAGTATGTATACTCATACATATTATCAAAAGTATAATAAAAACTTAAATAATTCGATTTTTTTTTCTTTCCTCCTCATAATTCAAACTTCTTGATAACTCGAAGTCTCAATAATTCGAATTTTCCTTTGAGTCCCTGGATTTCGAATTATCGAGAGTCAACTGCATGATCTGAATTGAGTTTCTGTTCTTTGGTGAGTTTTTCACTGATCCATATTTACATACTTTTTTATTGTCTGATAAGCAAAAAAATCAAAAGATTTAAATTTAACAGATTCACAATAACAGCCTTACTGTCACTTTGCTTTTCTGTACACATCAGGTTCGAACGTAAAATAAAATATTTTCAAGATTTCAATTATTTAATAAAAAAAATAAATAAAAAAATAGACTTCTGGACGATCCAGAACGAATTTGTATTGACTGTGAAATGAGAATTTCTATACAATGGATCATATTTGGCAAAAACTAGCGCGGATTCCATATTTCGGCAGAGCATAAGAAGTTTTGCCGTTGGAGCGAGGTGTCACCTTGATCTCACCGAGGTAGCGGCAGACGGTAAAGCTCCGACAAAAGGAGACAAAAGAGTTCCAAATTGAAGCAATAAGACAAAGGAAGCAGCCACTGGAAACTGGAGACACTGCTCCGTTCCGCTCTGGTTGAGGTAGTCCGGGCCTTACAGTCAATGTCGCCGTCTTAGCCATTCCCTGTCGTCTAGCTAACGCTATCCAATAGTGTCTTAAACTATATATATATATATATACACGCACACACATAGGCATACATATATACATGTATAATGATGTGTTACTTCCATGTGATCTTCCGATGTTAAACGTTAATTCTAAGATAAAAGATAGCGGTTTTAAAATGGATCATATCAAAATGACATGCAGAATATATCATAATATGATAATAATAACAGCATTTCAGATAAAATATCCTAAAAAGGAATTCAATAAGCGATCTTCAGAAGCTAATAAATAAAAACGATCAGCTATGCAATGGATGGCTTGTTCTTAGTATAATTTATATCATTAATAAAGCGTTTTTCATTTAGATGAATAAGTATGTATGAATTTAGATGAATAATGTACGTCTTGCTAATGTATTATTATATTACACTATACCTTACATGTCATAATTATTTATTTTTTATATATGTCGTACATATATTTTTATATGATATTATTATTACTTAACATGTTGTTATATATTTCTCTTTAATTTGGGCGATTATGTAATTTCACCAGTAGTAATATAAATCGCAACAGATAAACCTCAATAAATAAATACAAATAAAAAATCAATCGATTAACGAATACAAACATATCTTAATTATTCTATCGTATTAAAGTGCTAGTACGATCGAAATTATGTCCCTGAATATATCTCTTATCATGATAATTTGCTGAAAAAGCTCAAATCACAAATCAAATATTTCAAATTTTGAAAAAATAATACTTTTTTCTGGCTTTAAACGTTTATTTGCTCCCGTCAATTTCATGTTGACAATCAGCAAATGTGAAAATACAAGAAATAAGGACATGTCCGGCATAGAGAAGAACAGTACTCAGCAGTACCTCTTCCCTGACTTATTTTCAATTACTTAGGTTGTTTAAGCAAAGAGATCTATCATCCAACACCTTTTTACTCTCCTCCACATTTTCTGGGGTATGCCAGCTATGGCCACGTCTCTTATTAATATTTCGTTATGTTCGCTTAAATTTGTATAAAATCGTTGGTAAAGGGTAGTTATATGTAGATCAACTGTTGGAAGGTGGAGGTCAGTGTGTAGACTTTTGTTAGTCACGTACCAAGGTGCTTTTGTTGTGAGTTACAATAATTTTTATTGGAAGGTTTTAAGTCTTTGTAGAAGGGTCTTTTTTAGCGATAACTTATATCTGTGATGAGTATGTCCATATAGGTTCAAGTAAATATATGTATTTAGTTCCTGTCTCAATTTCAGTTTTGAAGATATAAAAAAAAAGAGGATAAAGTAGTTTTTTAAGCATCTTACGTTTCACTTTTACGTGCAGACCTCAGGCTATTGTCAATATAAACTGGAGGGCAGGTGTTTTTTTCGAATAGTAAATGTTAGATGTTTGGATTTGTCATGATTAAGTCGCAATAATAATAAATTACTAAAGTAAAACATTTTATCTACAAAATTATTAAACATTTTTATTAATATTGATGCATACTTATGTATCTATAATAATATAGTTGTTCATAGACGGAAAAATGAAGCAGATATGGAAGGCAGTGGCTGGCAGACCTGCTCTATTCCTGGCGGGCAACTAAGTCCAAGCCAGTTAGTTTAAATAAATACAACGATCAGCTGCATATGCCCGCCCATTCCCATTCCATTTATGTAAATATTTGATTGCAAAGACAGATTCCAGTCACTTGATGCCACAATATCCCCTAATACACGTACGATTACAACGTATGCCTTCATGATTTTTTCAAGGTTAGCAAATGTTTCAAGATATTTCCCAAATAACTAATTTGGTTGATTTTGAGTATTATATACCTCATTGACTGTAATGTTCAAACGAGATCTTTACCGGCGAGGGTTCCATAGCTACTTCTTAACGATAGTATGATTATTAGACTTAGTAATGATCGATTTTGGCTTCTATACGGAACATGAGCATAATAAAATATGGACTCCTACAATATTATGAACATATACGTATGCGGTTTTCCTAAATGTTTTCGTTGGTATTATTTAATATTTAATTTTATATATATATATATATATATATATATATATATATATATATATATATATTAAAATTTATATATATATATATAAGGGTACTTAAACAAATACAAATATCCACAATAAAATATAAATCAATATAGCGTTTATAATTTGTACTTTCATTTCCCCTTTGTCTGAAAATACTTATTTCTGATGAGAAGAGGGTGGTGAAAGTGAAAGTGAAAGTTGTGTGATACGCGCATCGCACCAGCTTTTTTACTAAACAATGTCTTACAAGTTTATTGGGGTGAATGAAATACGGTTAATCTGTAAGCTCTTTAGTTGCTTAGGTACATGTGTATTGCTGCTATCTTACTGCTATTGTCAGCTGAAATTTTTTGTTTCTTTCAAATTTAGTTAGTAGTATGGTAATCGAATTGCAAGTTAGTATTTATAAAATATAATCTCTGCATTAATTTGAGCGCTTTCTAAATCGGTGATAATGAAGAACATTTAAGGATTCAAGAACTTTATAACTTGTAACAGATGACGAATTGAAGGCACGTTATATGTACAAAGAATGATATGAGAATATTGTTAGGCATGATGGTAGCAAACACCTGAAGGAAACTTTCATTCACAAACTTAAAATAAATCAATAATGCACTAAAATGCACAATGCTTCGAGATTGGTTGTTTATTACTGATGTTTACACTTAATTATCATTAAAAAGGTTAATTGAAACAGAAGAAAGAAAAAGAAATTTAGGACCTGTAACATCATCATCAATATGTTCCTTGAAAGTTACACAACGCTTGTGACCTTGGTCCCTTCGTTAATTGCGGCTACATGGAAGAGAACTTGCCCAATACAGTTTATCCTTATTGACTTTGAACAATACGCTCCCACAAGCAACAATGAACTCGTTTGTGAATATTCCCAAGATATTTAGTCCGTTTTCTCATTTTTATATGGCAGCGAAGATGGATAATATCTGACGGAAGTGTTACATGGAGGTTGTAAATTCGTTAATATATCTCAACCAGAGAGGAACTAACGCCCCAATTAGAAGAAATTAGTGCCACAGTCACCTCAGAACGTACTCCCATCAATTAAAAGACTTATCTTCTACTTTTTTTAATGAGATCTTTATCTTTTTTCTTCTTCGTTTTATTTCTAAAGTTTATAAATATTTCAAATACTCGAGCCAGATTTTATGGTATCGAATAACCACGTGTACAATTATTGTAGAAAGTGAAACCATTTGATTACAAAAAAATCATATAAAATAAAAAGATGTAGGCTATCTAAACCACGATCCCTGCAGGATACAAACAATGTTTGCAGAAGGATCAGCTAGCATTAAGGACCAAGAGATGAGTCAGACTAATGACACGACAGACGGTCATTATGGAACTGGGTTGCCAAGAGCGACTCATGCATCTTTCAGCAGATAGTGTGTCATCGGGTGCCCTTGGTGATGTCACTTTATAAGAGGATCTTAGAGGAAGGAGTCCCGATGATGCTGGTTGCGGGTGATATATTTGATTGGGAAAGGTAACAGCATTAGGATATTATTAATAGTATTTTGGGTACTTACTGTTGTCCTGGACATTGGAGGCTGGCAGTGCTTCCACGGTCACCACGGCGAAGATGGATTTGACGACTCCAGAGACGGAGGTTGCCCTACACTCGTACCTCCCGGCGTCTTCCGGTCGCACTTTCGGGAACACGACCATCGACCTCTTCCTAGGACAAGATTAGCAAAATATTTTTAAGTTAATAAAAGTTTGATTATGATTAAATTTAAAAAAAAAAATAATATTTATAATCCCTAAAAAAAGTAAATAAAATGCACTGTCATTTGTTTTGTACGATTATGTTATTCTTAAGGGACTTCGTCCGAGAATAATTTTAATTTTCTATTTCTATTTCTATATAATTTGTAGAAGATGTTATATTGAAAACAAACATGCTGAACTAACCTGGATGTTTTGGAACGATAGTTATCTAATCAATGATTTGAGCAGAGGTCTATTTATATTTCAAATAGGGAGGTGATTTGGTTAAAAGTTACGATTTTTCGAAATGTTTACGATACATGCGAACAGAACTATTCCACTTCATAGTTATTCCATTCAGATTAACACTAATTTTTAACACTCTATACATCTCATTTTGGCTTTTTAATGAATTCTTTTGAGGAAGTGGAAAAATATAAAACATTTAGGCTCAGTAGAAATATAAAATATGTTTGCAGAACAAACGAAGAATCACCTAAGGATTATTACCAAGTAGACCAAGTCACTAAAACCAGAAGTTATTGATACTGAAAGCGAACCATCAATTGGAAGATGAAATTTTTCAAAAACATTTCTATTTACATAAATTCATACATATATTGGGTTGCGCAGAAAATAATGCAGATTGCAAGGGTTCTGTATATTATCCCTCTGTATAACAAACTGTTTACGTTTGAAATATTATTCTTTTGTATGGCTGTCAATTAATCCTATGTATATTTTAATCTTGTTGGATAAGACACCGTTGTATTTGTAATAGGAACAAGCAATAGATCATAATAGTCCTACTTTATTTTTTCTCTACACCAAAAGTAGACCCATTTTCAAGAAAAGAAACCTATTATAAAATAAAAACATATCACCTGAATTGTCCTTCTCACAACTTGATAGTCTAAAACTAACTTCAGTCCATACAATACAAGGATTCTAATTTCAGCAAACATAATTTTATATTTATTTTAAAAGTCTGAAGTCTCCATTTCGAAAATGTTTATCCCCGTTTGGGCCCTGTTCCGACCGAGTTCAAACTCACAGAAGTAAACGTGTGAAAATCAAGCATTGTCATCTTAGTAAAGACTGAATTATTTTCAACAAGTGAAATGCTACAGAATATTAAAAAAAATATTTATAAGAGGATTAATAAGTGTTGGCACCCATACAAAAAAGTATAATCCCTCAAACGTAAAGAGTTTGATATTTAGAGGGTTAAATATAAAGAAAGCATGTATGTATATATATATGTAAAGTTTGAAGGATATTTATCGAATAATATACTTATTAGTATGTCAATGACTTAATACTGTTTTATAATAATGTAAGGATAAGAGATGGAAGAAGAAGAGACGCGATCTAAAGGATATGCAAATAGGCCGAAGAGTGGGTCCTAAGTGGCCTTGGAATAGCCTGGGATCGATAATTATCGATAAATGTTTTGAAGAGGCTGATCGATTCCATCCAGCGGGGACAGTTTTACGACCTTGCCCCTCACTCAGATAGTCCCAGATCTCTTTATTAATATATTCCCGGACCACCTAGTCCATTTTATTTATTATTGTTTATATCTTTTACGGGCCCCACGCCACGATTCTCGATTCTTGTAATCTTTGCCGATTCGTCTCGACACACATCGTCTCAGGTCCTTGATGAATTAATCAGATTCTTTTTGCCTTTGCCGCTATCATTAGTTTTTTTTTAATTATGAAAATCCCGACTTTATAAATATCACATATAAATAAATATTCGCGGACTTTTAGAAACGCTTAACATAAAATATAAAGGAGACCAAAAATCAGTTTCGATAGATTGCCAACTGCTGTATAAACAAAATAACAGTTTGAATTTAATATTTCTATCGAAGGAATGGTAAACGCATACGCCACCCTTTCATTAGAAATCCTTCGTTTAATAAATTCAGATGGAAAAATAGATAGATGTAATATAATCTCTCTCATCTGATTAGAAAAAAAAATCATGTAAACAATTAATTCAAATAACCGAGAGTCTTCTATACTAGGAAGAGTATTTGAAGAAAGAAGAACAAGAAGATGGAGGAAGATTAACTCAGAAGACGGAAGATGATTAATGAGACAAGTCACAAATCAAAACATAAGCTTGGACAAACTGAAGAAAATTGAAGGATTACTTTATTTACCATAAATATTGATATACCATATTTTGTAGGATATGCAATTATACCAATAATCATATTTTTCAATAACATCTGTGGTAACCATTTAAGGCAACAAAATAAAAATATTGAAATGTAATTATTATATGAATAAATTTATTTATATTTATATTACACACATACAAACACACAAACACTCCACCTCCGACACACACACATACACACATATGTATTTATAAATAATTTAAGGATTAGGATCATTGTGCCGGGGTTGAGACTCACGTGATGCACACGTGGTAGTGCAACGGCGGAGTGCGTCGCGTGCTGCATACACGTTGCGCCGTGCCCATCCCCTCTAGGTCGTGTCATGATGACACCATGTCAGTGTCCAGAGGAATTCATTATTAGGCTAAAATATGTCTGGATGATGGGTCTAATAAAGTCACGGTATCAAGTCATCAGGAGATATCAATCAATGATTGATATAATGTCATTCATTATTACCATTTATAACTGGCCATAAAAATCTGAGAAAGCTTATAATTCATTAATAATAGATGTGGAAATAATTTAGTACAAAACTATTTTTACACCTATAAGACGGGTAAATTATATTAATAATAATTGCATTTACTTATTATTGTCATCATAATTTTATTGATTCGGCAACGATAAATAATGGGACTCTATCTATAAAAATGTACTTATAAATACCACTATTTATAAATCATGATTATGTTTTTAAAAATTAGTAATAATACTATAAATAAAATGAACGAGATGAACTTACATATGTGCATATTCTAGATCATCTGATTTATATATTTTTTGTATTAATTTTTTTCTCAAATTATTATGCATGTAACTAAGTATTTCTTATTTCTTTCTTTCTTATTTCTAACTAAAAATAAATGCATTATTTAAATAAAATGTATTTTATAAAAAAAATATACATTTTTTCTATTGATTATTTTTAATTTTTTTAAAAAAAGAATAAGTTAAATAATTCTTGTTATTTTTTTATAATGATTAAAAATTAATAATTTATAAATGTTAAACAACAAATACAATTTTTTTTTAATTTGTTTTTTAATGTTTTAAGTAAAAATTAATTAAGTATTTTTATGTTTTTGCTAATTATCATTTGAGATTAAAATTTAATAATTTATTTGAAGACCAATAACCCTTATACCATCTTAGAGTAAGAAGGTGTCTGACGAAAACATATGTCAGCTCATGTTTAAGGTGTAAAATAAATCATTATACAGAGATTGTCATTGGTAAAGAATTTTCAAAGAATATAAAATAGTGTAATATTGTCAAATAATTAATATTTTTTAAATTTATTTTTTTATGTTTTTCTATAATTTTTTTCTCATGTTCAAAACCAATATGTATAGAAATGTGTACAGTTTGGAACTAGACAGATGATTGATTGTACAGTGACTAATTGTATTTCATAGATTGATTATATATATTATATCTTTTATAATTGAGGAATTAAAACGGTTGAAAATAAATTCAAGTAGTCATGCACAATCAGTTACTCATCTGTCTAGGCTACGCATAAATATTTCTGACTGACATTAAAATCATTAAGATTATATGCTACAAAAAAATTATAAATAATTAAATTTATGAAAAAATCCTGAGAGGTCTGTAATCTCCTACTCTCCTAAAATAAAATATGAAAGTCGCTTAAAGCGTTCTTATATAATAGAGTGAATTAAACAGATAATTTTAATAGAAAATCATTTCTGACGAAACCTATTATAAAGTTATAAAAGTTAAGCACTTAATAATTAAATTTCCAAATTAATACAAGCATATGGTTATTATATAAAATAAAAAAATCTATGTAATAACATGACAACATAATCCATTCATCGTTATTGATTGTTTCTAGGCCTCAATAGAAAGGACCTGTCCCATTACAAGTTAGTGATGCCTAGTTGGCTCTTTATCTTTCAAATCCAAATTCAAATCAACATTCTTTCTAAAATATAATTACAGTTGAAAAGAACTGATCAAAGGGCAACAGAAAGCAGGCCTGCCAACAGCTTTGTTTAATTGTCACTCATCAAGGCACCCTAATCTCCCTCTTTGTTTATTCTTCTCTCTCCTGCCTCAGGATGATTCCCTATCTTTAGAGCCTTATTTCAATCTATTATTTCCTCTGTTATTATAATAATTGCCTTCTAAGACAAAGTAGGAAAATAGGAATCCCTCCATATTCTAAATTTTATAAGATTTAATTGATATCATTGTAAAACATATACACATAATCTCAAGTCAGTTCGGTTTACATAAGACATTGGAATCTCATTTTTTTAAAATTACGGTGGTTTGATAATTCGAATCTAATGGTGGAAACCTCTGGAATTTTAATGAGTTAAAAGACTCTAGGACTTTTCTAATGACAAATACTGGGAATATCGTATAAGAAGATATAGTTAAATTGATTATAATATATCTGTAAGAAGAGTTTATAACCAAGAAGAGAAGTTTATTGGGAACAGAAAAAAAAAAACTTTATGCATAGTATTACATTTTTATTTTTCAATTTTTTTTCTTTATTGTCTACATGTATATGTAATTTTAAGGTGGGCATTTTATACAGGCTATATGAGTGAAAATGTGGCTTCTTTTAGGGTGTTAATATAAAATATTAAAATCTTAATGTACATACATATATATGTACATACATATATATATATATATATATATATATATATATATATATATATATATATATATATATTAATTGTGGTGGTTTGATAGTCCGAATGTAACAATGAAAACTTATAGAATTCAAACAGAGCTAATAGAAAGTAGAATTTTTCTATCGACAAATACGGAGGATCTCATATTGATAAATATATTTTAATTGATTATAAATTATGAAACAAAACTTATACTATATGCGTTTGTAATGCTATCTTTTTTTGAAAAAGGTTTGGCGCCATTTAGCAAACTTTATAGAAATGAGAAAACCCATTATCCATTTAATACAAAATTTTTGTGTGCTCGTATCCTATTGAGGAGGTTGAATTTATAGATGTAGGGGAATGAGCCTTTTTTAGGTATATTCCAAATATCAATATATATTTTATTAAATTTTCAAATTAACTTTTATAGTTAATATAAATAGGAAAAGCTATTTTCCTATAAATCGTTTTGGCATTCATCGCTATTTAAAGGAACGATGTCAATATATACCGACGCAATATGTATTTTATATTGAAGAATTGTTGTTAGAGTAAAATTTTGTAGAATGATAAATATGATTTTCTTATAGCATGATGTAACAAATCAAGCGGCTTTCTTAAGCATCTTTGCAATAAGTTTATTCTAAAAGTATAGCTAAATGGTGAACTATATAATATTTAAGGTGAAATAGAGATGAGGCGAAACATTTTCGTACCAAATTAGGGAAGTTAGAGGTTATGTAATTTATAATATTGAGTGTAAAAAATTAAGTGAAAAAGAAATACTAAGATAAATAGATATTTCACTCTCCATCATATACATTTTGTTTTAATAATTTTATAACTAAATGTTACATATTACATAAAGTATAGTTGTAATTGAAATGTATTTTGGCTTACTTTTTGAATTGTATTTTTGTATTTCTCGTCGCGTTGAGGGGTTGGTCGTCCTTGTACCAAGAGATTGCCGGGAGTGGGTTGCCCTTACTCCGACAAACCAACCGCAGCTTCTCCTTGGTCTTCTTCTTGACGTCTTTCAGGCCGAACACGCTGGCCTGTCTCACTGAAAACATACCAAACATAATAAGTAAGATTTAAATTAATAAGATGAATTTATTTGACAGGATTTTATATGAAACAAAGTAAATTATTATTATACAAAATATACAATCAATTTTATCGAAGATGTGAGGTTGTTTCACGTACTTTGCATAATTATTGGAATATTCTAGCATGGAAATGATAATTTCCTTTCTCTATGACAAGTCAATACAAACCAAAGTGCCAAACAACAGGGAGTGCCGATACCTCTTGGAGTTAAGGTAGGAATTTCGTGATTAATCAGATCAGGATTTTAATTCCATTTCAAGGGAAAAAGTAAATATTTTATTCCATTTTTGTGGGAAGCTAATAAACTTAGCACGGAACAGACTATATATAGATGTAGATATCGTGATTTTGCTGACAGGAGTGATGATGTTAAACTATATTAAAGCGTGTGATTAATGACAATCACAATAACTATTTTATTAAATTTATAACGTAAATTAATAATCGTCTTAGGTGAAATTAAGAATTAGTGGTAGAAAAAAATATCACCTCCCCACCTTTAAATTCCGCCTGTTTATTCACTTTCTCTCTCTCTCTCTCTCTCTATATATATATATATTATATATATATATATATGTATATATATATATATATATGAATTATTAGTTCAGTTTTAATTATTTTTATTTCACTTTCTTTTTTTTTTTTTTTCTTTGTTTAATTATAGCTCGAAAGTAACTCTAAAGTTTTTTTTTTTTGTTTTATTGTACCCGTTGGCTTATTTTGTGATTCTTCTTATATATCTCTGAGGCTTTTAATTCTACATTTCTGTCGAAGTATACTATTCCAAAGAGTCCAAGAATAAACAAAGTACATTATTATTATTATAATATTAAAAAACTATCATTCGCTAGACAAATTGATCTCCTGATTATATTAGGTATATCCTTTAATGGCTTTTAATAAATTTCTTTGTTCATTTATTCTCTATATTACCTTTCGATTAAAAATAGATATCATTCTCTATTTGCCTTGCAATGGTTAGTTTTAATATAAATATTCAATAAACATATAAAACAGATTTAATATAAATATTTTTACCCTGGAGGAATACGTAAAAACTAAATATAGGTAATTATGTTTATAAGTATAGATAAAATATTGAAGTAAAGGCAGAAGATATAACCATTCAATTAAAAATATTATTTAAGGTTTAACCTAACATACATTTTATTAAGAATACATTTTTTTTATTACTTTGTATTTTTGGGGGATAAGTAATAATAATAATTTTTAGAAACATCCTTGATTTTATATATTAGCATTGAGATAGATCCTGCCTACTCTTGGAAACAGAACACAAAACACTGATTTCTATTTTTAATTTAATATCGCCTTATTTTTCTTTTAATTTTTTTTTCTACGGGAGTCGGTTTTTCTACGAGGAAAGGAAAAAGTATCTCGGAAGATTAGTTTGAGAAAGGATGAGGCAGGAAGAGGCGCAGTGATGTTTTGATGTGACGACCGCCTCCTTGTCCCAATATACCTTACCAATTTACACCCCTTCAAATGAGACCTTCCTATGTCCCGCAGTTTATTCTAATAGTTTTAACTCTGTTTTGGCCTGCTTCCAAGAACAGATTGCTTCCCAAGAGAAAATAACTGACTAATATACTGCCTATATCTAATTCAAGGGTTTACGAAAATTTGTGTGTTAGCTGAGGTTATTTCAATAAAAATTAAGTTCATCAACCTCTCCTGAATATCAGAATAAATCCCATTATGATTATTTAGTAATAAAAAATACAAAAATTCTACTCGGATATGATTAGTAGAATCCGATTTGTAGGATAACTCTAAGATTTGAGTATTCAAGATATCGTTAAACAACCACAGTCAACTCGGGTATCATCAGAGAAGAAAAAACATATATGTAGACGAAATATAGCAAACCTTACATCAACAGTCAGAAATCAGACGCAGCAACTAAAACCATTTGAACTAATACACAATACCTAGTATCTTTTAAGATGTTGATTGACTTCGTAGTTATAGAAATTGGTCGTGGTAATTGCATCACCTATTTCGATTCTCATGGTGATTACAGTCGATTTCATTGTTTTTATTTTCTTTACTAATTTAGGTTACAAAAAAAAAATTATACAATGTTTCTCAGTTCATTTTTAACTAATGTCAGGATAAAACTTGTAATTATGTCTAGTTTCACAAAACTGTCCTCGTCATAAAATATTAAAATTGTGACTTTACATGAAGTGAAGGAATATTCGCTGGAAATAGCATCGAGAATAGGGTACCACCAATCAACGGTAGTTTAGTTTTGAAAAAAATCCTTCTCAAGGCACCATGGAGAGAAGAAAGGAACTGGAAGGAGAAAAAAAAAATTACCGATTAATAGTGCGATTGTTTTTAGAATATCGCTTAAAACTGGCAAAGAAATATCCAGAGATCTTGGATATAGCAACGTGGTATCAATAAAAAAAAATAAAATTAAATACAATTTTCACTGAGTGAGGCAATGGCTATGACCACGACTGTATATACATATAAACACAGTCGTGGTCATAGAAATTCGTGAACTTGGTTTTTGATTTATTATGGTCATTTAAAAGCAGTAATCTCTCTGTGTTATTGTGCCATTGTTGTTGAGCAGCGATCATTAATCAAGCGATCATTTTTAAGCTTTAAATGGGTACACGTTTTCTGTTTGTACTATACTATAGATGCTAAAAAAAACAAAAAAAAAATAAAAAAAAATAAATAATTAATTCTATTTAATTAGGTACTAAAGCCTCATGAATATACATTTGATTTTCACTTGAATCGTAATTTAATTTAAGCACTAAATTGAGAAAAAAGGTGATCTTAAAAAAAATTGAGCCGTACGGCGTGGCACACACCTCCAAAATGTCAAAATAACGTGGTTATATAGGACAAACGGCCCAATATGTTTTTGGCCACTTTTTTTCACTATTTTATGATCAAATTATCTTAATAATGTTAATGATCAAATGTTTTAATACTCGTGACTTCTAGTATTACACATTAAAAAAAAATATTTTTATAAGCGTTTACAGATACATAATATGATAAACTAATTAATAATCTTATGCCCATACCGTTATAATTCTAAAGGTGTCTCATTTAATAAACGTTGATTCGGAGCTATTTAGAAACCTTTAGGATATTAGCGTTTATTATCGATTATCTGAATTTATGTTATTGGAGGGCCGAGGAAGGTATTCGGCATTCCAAGCCGCGGAGTGTGGTCATCATTAGCCTGACAGGGAGGCCAGGACAAGGGGGAGCCAACGAGAGACAGCCGGGCGCCTAATGAAGGAGCCAGGGGCCAAAAAGAGGAAGGGAGGATAGAACCGGTCTCCGGAGATGAATCTTTATGTCAAATTTTAATAAATCCGAATAACGTCGGGGCCACTTGTAGATTAGTCGTCAACATCGCGGCCTGTGTCTCTGTCGGCGTAGGGGGATATCTTGTACTATCTACATTCTTCTAATATAAATATATCCTATTACATTAGTCTAATCCTCCTTAAACTATTTAATGTTGAGGAGCTTTCCGTACATGATCTTCTTCCACAGCTGTCTTAAAAATAATTTATAATAGAGAAAACATGTCGCAAAAACTCTATTTGTACATTAAACTCAGTCACGGTTTACAATCGGATGTTATATAATATCATGATAGATATATATATAATATATATAATATATTGTCAACTTTGGTGAAGTTAAGACAACTTACCCATCTCCTATATATACTCTAAATGAAAAAAAAAAGTTTAATGTATTCTGTAATATAATTACAGTTAAAATAAACTTTAATTATCGCGATATTATCTTATAATAAGTTAAGTAGAATGAATTATTTTTAGTAAACACAGTTTATAAACCTAATTTTTGTAACTGTCGGATATATATTTATTGACTTTACCTCAAGATCCTTAGAGAATATATATTATAGCAATTAGGAAATAGAAATATTATATATACTTCGTTTATTATTCGTTATTATTTGGGTATAATATGAAAATTCATAGCCTAATTATGAGATCTCTAAAATTCCTAGGTTTTGAGCGATATATGGACATTTTGTATCGAAATTAAAAATGTATGAAAGGTAGTACCGTTTTTTTTTTAATAGTTTTTTTAACCTTAACCTAATTCCAATAAATCCCATCAAAAGCTCCTTTACCCTTCGTCGTAAACATATAATTTCCTATTCTACAGTATCCTTTAATAACATCCCACTTATTTTTGTTGAACAAATCCGATACCTAGGACTCCGCCGTCTTACTTGGAATCTTCATACAAGAGTGAAACGACAAAAAACTTACTAGACAAACGCTCTAAACTCCAACCAATTACAAAGACTCATATACATGACTATAATAAGACCTATTTGGATTACAGTTGAGCTGTGGAGCTCCACTAAACCATCGAATTCCTCTCGTATCCAATCCTTACAATCCAAAATCCTTTGTAAAATCCTCAATGCTCCATACTTTGTCCAAACTAAAATAATCCATGAAGATCTTAATGTTCCATATGTTTCCGATTTGGCCTAATCCAGAAACCTATCCTTCCTACCTTATGGTACCTTACCTAATCATCTGAATCCTCTCATTTGTAACCTTGCTTCCTCTTCGATTCTTGATAATCCTCCAAGGCGCTTGAAAAGAAGATGGCCTCGTGACCTCCTTATGTAGACATGTTATTACAGTGTTAGCAGAGGATAGTTTATCAACAAATGTTTTCATGTGAATATATTCCTGTGAGCACATTTACTTGAGGCATTTATATTGTAATGCAGTTGTAAATATCATAAATAAAAAGTTGCAAAAAAAAAACCTTAACCTTTTTTTAACTTCGATCCATTCACGAATTTTTAGACGGATGTAAATAATTTGATAAAAAAGTATTTGTACCACGGACTAACTTCCATAGCGATGATAAATAGAACAGGGCAATGCTAATTTAACTGATTCCAAGGTACCGTTTCTCCAGCTGATTCTCTTCGTCTGTATATATTATGCACAAGTTCCCATCACTATATTATACCTGGGAACACTTCACCGGCACAGCTCGTCAAATTATAAATTTCATCTTTAATCACGTTATAGACACGGAAAATTGACCTACTGAGTTTATTACCATTGGATTAAATAACGGCTAATTCATCAAATAACAATTCGAATTAGTAATTATAGTATATTTTTCTCTTAGTGCTGTCACATCACCAACTCTCCTTTAATTATTCAAGTATTTTATCTTTGAAGATAAGTAACTACTGTCGATTTCTTAGACCAGTGTCGTCAACTATTCATTCTCTGAATCAATCCATTTCCTAGGAATTTTTAAAAAGTATACATTTTTTCAAAATATATTGTTTGTCACTAAACGTTGAAACGAATAATCAGTTAATAAACCATGATATATTTTGGATTGAAATTTGCCCTTATAACGGTAAAACTTGATAACGTTAAAAGCATAAAGTATAGCAGTACTCTGATTGGATGTGCATAGGTAAGAATAGTATTGTGTTGCATCGGGAAAAGCGGAGATCTGCTGAATTAGCAATGTAGGTCGTGTCCTCGGCTGAGGTCGGAGGATGTGGCCCTGCAAGAATGGGGAGGAACCACGAGCATTACCGAGAATGTAGCAAAACTAGATCGGATTGTTTTGTCTGTTGTATATCCAATGTTCCACTCCGAGAATATTCGCCCATATTGTTGTCCTATCCTACGTAGTATTGAGAACAATAACTAGATTTCCACTCGTCTTAGAGCAAGTACCATTAAATAATTGATTGTGAGTAAAACAATTATATATCAAAATTAACATTACTTTCCTTGTCACATAAAGGAAAATAAATAAAAGATGATTGGGAACTGGGCAAAATAATCTTTCTTTTATCTTAAATACTAAGAAAAATAGACAGCAAACAAATGATATAAGCTTTGCAGTAGAACATATATGCACCAACAAAGATGCAATAGAGCTGCATGCAGATAACTAGAAAGAGATATCCAAGAAAGACAGAGATGAAGCAGTCTTGTTATGGCGGCAAAAGATGTACAATGTCTGTAAAGCCAAAAAAAAAAGAAAAGTAGAATATAAAAAATATTTAAAACACAATATCTTTGCACCACATTGTCCGATTCAATGATTTTTATTTCTTAGATATTTTCGTTAACTTTAAGAAGACATTTGTATACCTCTACAGCATAGAACGCGAGTGTATCCTTTTTGAGTGATTAAAATAAATTAATTTTACCACCCCTCGTTTCTTTTCGGTGAAATATGAACTGTAATTATAAAGATAAATTTAAAGGGCTTCAAAGGAGGAGCTTTAGCTAAGTTGCTTTAAATTCCATACATTCGTTTAGGCGTTTTTCAGCTAAAGTATTTTTCGGTGAAATATGTTATATACATAAATTTAAAGAGCTTCGAGGAAAATATTTTGGCCAAGTTTCATTAAAATCGGTACATTAGTTTAGGCGCTACAGTCTATATCAACACCGCCATCTTGATAGGAAAAAGCGGATGGTAATGCGAGGTAGGTAGATTATCGTCGGGTGACCTCTGACTTTGAATCCAAATTTCAATAAAATCGGTCCAGTAGTCTCACACAAAAGAGGAAGAAGGCGGACGGACAAAATCTTATCGGTAAACGCAAAACCTCAAATTTAGAGGGGGTTAATTTTTTGAATTTTTCGGACGATTACAGTCGTTCATTATTAGAAATAATAAACCAAAAATAGAAATAATTTTGAGAATTAATATATAATGTATTGAACTCATGTCAGATTTAGATATAGCTGAATGGCTAATAGATATAGGTGAAGAGCTAACGTCTGGGCCAGTGAAGGTAAAAGATTAGCCTGGCTAGGACCCAGGGCGGTGTTGTGATTCGAGCGGAGTGACGCAAGTGTTGCTAACCTCTGCCAATTCGAGTCCGCAGTTCCAGTTTCCACTCTCATCGCTGGATCGTAAACCATATATTTTAAAATCCGATAATATTAAATAAATGAAAAATAATTAAATATTTCTTAAATACGAATTTCATATTATATTTTCTTTAAATTGCTAAATAAAAATGATTTATGAATTGGAAAAGATTCATTATCATTTTTGTCATAGCACTATGATGAAGAAAAAGTTTGTTGTTTTTGTCCATTTTTTCTTTCTATTTACAAGATTTTATATATTTGAGATGTTTTTCAATTTTTTACATTCCTAAATTAAATACATTTATCTTTTCCCCTCTTACTCTACATTTTTGTATTTATTTTAAAATAGCATTGCAAGTATTCAAGTTCTTAAGTAACATATATAAATACTTTATTTTATAAAGTTGTTTTTTCTTTTCTTTTTATCGCTACAATGGTTTTCTCATACAATTAATTCAATGCTCCTTTTCAATTTTATTTATCTACTTATTCTTATTTTATTTATATTACGTCGCGATAATGCAATATTGAGACCCAATTGCTCATTTCCTGTCATTAATATATCTTTAATGATTTTATATTTAGGGTTGAAACGTTGGCGTGAAACGTTGCGTCCTGAATATTTATCACCCATGATATGTAGAACAGTCGATTAACTTAAGTAATTAAACAACCTCAGTGCTCAAACTACGCCCTGAAGATGACCCAAATGTTTGGGTTGAAACGTTGGCAAAAATAAAAAAAATTTAAAAAAGACTGCGTCCTGAATATTTATCACCCATTTAAGCTATTTATATATTTTGTATGTTTTAACATTAAAAAAAAACAATTCTTTTTCTTTACTTCTTCTGATATTTTTTTCTTTTTCGGATGTATACATACATTTATTTAAATTATTGTATACATTGTTAGAATCTTTATTAAATTAGTTTTTGGGCAGATATGTATTTTTTCTTTGATAATTGTTCATTATTGTTATTCTAAATGGACTTCTTTCCTAGAATAAAGTTGATTTTCTATTTATATATATATATATATTTTTTCATTTGCTTTAAAGAAAAAAAATATTTTGAAACAAAGTAGAAAACCACGAATACTTGAACCTGTTTAGTACTAGGATGAATGACCACATTTCGCATGAGTTGGTACACATTTTTTAGGTGAAGTCTAAGGAACCCTTCAGGGAATTACATTTCTTATATTATTGTTATAATATTGTATATAATACTAATTAATAAAGGGCAAGATGGAAATGAATTGCCACTAAAGAAATACAGTAGTAAGCGGATGCCTTGATGGCGAAATAAATACTTGACGAATTGAGAGTTTGCTTGAGAGAAAATGGAATAAAGTATTTATCTGATGATATTACAATGATTTATTTTAAGTAGGTTTCAACTTCTAAAACCTGAAACCAGGATTAGCTCCTTGGATGACCACGCGTTCCGGAGTTATGGATGTCATGCTTTACAATACGCAATAACTGTGTCAGTGTCGCTCACGGTCAAATGTCAACGACAAAACCAGATTGTCGTCTGTTGTAAATGCAAGATACTTATGACTCAAGATTTCAATATTGCATGACTATAAACCATTATCCCATCATACCCAAAATATTAAAAATAAAAAAAAAGAATAAGATATTTATTTAATAATAAACTTTTAATAGTAATATATTAAATTGGAGGTTTGAAGTGGATAACAATATTGAAATAAACGTGTCATTAAATCAATGCTGGTGGATGAAACTAACGGTCGGTCTTATCGGTCGAATTTGAATTGATTTGAATTCGAATTTGAGTTGAAATTTCTCATTTAATCATTGTATTAAACAGATGGTACCGAAGTTAAAACGTTTTGTCCACACAATCTAAAATGTTCACTCGCGTTTTACGTTAACGTTGTCGTTACATCATCGAACAAACTTAGTTCTGTGTACGTCTATTCAAATCCATGTGATGGAGCACGTCACTTAACTCCGTTGATCCGATTTTCAAGAAATGTTCAGAGATGTTGTTAACTAAATATATATTTCATCAAATTCCTTTCGCGTACTCAAGCTTAAAGATAATTTCTTATATGCGCCAATATTTCAAAACAGCCTCGTCCTCGTTTAGATTAAAAATTCCGGAAAGTTGGTGATTATTAAAAAATTAAGATGTGAGAGAGAAAGAAACACTTTATTTTCATAAAATATAAAATATAAACGATTGCTGCCCAATTACATTGGGTTGCTATACACACAGCATACTCTTCTATCCTTAAGACAATATATGAACTTATATATAAATATACAGAAGTATTAGTTAATATTAGTAAAACAGAAATATATATATATATATATACATTTTTATTATTTTATTTATCTTTATAATTTTTTTTTTTTTTTTTCCTTTTTCCTTCTTCTCATTGTTCATGCTTTTTTTTTTATTTTTATTTAACATTAAGTTTCCCTTTCTCTCACTTCTCTCTCTTCATCGCTATTGTTTTCAATTATTCACTAAATAAATAAATAAACAAATACATAAATTAAAACTCTCGGGCTAGCCATGCACGTGGTGGTGAATGATTCCCAGGGAGTCGAGGACTATATTTTCAGCCAACCTCGCTACGTCCTTAATGTCGACACCTAGTTCCTCGAGGAAGCTCCTTGTTCTTTTTGGGATAGTTCCGCGAGACCCAAACCAGAGGCCTCTCACGGTGAACTCTCTCTCTCCGAAGGTCTCACGGAATTTCTCTTTTAGGAAAAGGATACATTTATCGTACGTGTTCTTCTTTTCCCTTTCCACTTCACCCGCCTGATCGAGGTCATTGCTCTCAAAGCGGACAGTTGGATCCAAGATCAGCGCTGTCCTTCCTGTCTTGGGAAATGCGACGATATCAGCGTATCTCGTAGAGCCCTCACTATCGATGCAATATACCTCGTCAAAGCAGGCGAATTTTTTTTCCCTAAGGAGCCTCATCAATTCGAACTTGACCCGGTGGTGACGACGTGTTATGAGGAGGGAGTTGTTGGGGCATTTTCCCAGCACATGTGCTGGTGTTTCAGACTCTCTGCCGCATTTACGGTTAATTATAACAAATTCAATCGACTACTTCGTCTTATGTATGCGCAAATGTATTTATTTCGGTACGACTAGACCTGAAAACCGCATGTTTGATTTGGTCTAAAGTTGAAGATGAGATAGGGATTGGTGAAAAAACGTTCATGATTAACTAAGAATCAATTTTATTCACTACTTTCAAAAAATTATTTTGCAATGCCTACACAAACGAATTTTCCTTAATACGACTATATTTCGAAAACGGGTTCTTTCTATTTGGTGCATATTGGGAATAAATTTGAAGGAAAAAAAAGATAAATGGTATAGATTAAATTCAATAAAACAATTAACATTATTGTACCTAATGGTTATGAATCTAATAGCTGTATTGTAGGGATGTGGAGAAGGAGATAATGGTTATTCTAAAGTTGTATCACATCCTGGCAAAATGTATTTTAAATATTATTTTAAAATACAATATTTAAGGTACCAAGTATTTAAATTGTTTTCAGAAGAGGTATTTCAAATACAAAACACCGAAAGTATTTTGTATTTTAATTACAAAAAAATAAATACAAATACAAAATACTTACTGGTGGACGATCAACCTACAGGGAAGTTTCTGTATTTGATAATTTATTTTGTGTATATAAAAAACAAAATAAAATACGTTTTTTGTATTTTGTATTTAAAAAAGAAAATACAGTTTTTTGTTGTTGTTTTTTTAGTTTGGTATAGCATTAAATACAGTTGGTTTGATTTTATGAAATTTTTACGGATTTTGAGTGTTGATACCCAAATGGAACGATGATGATTTTATCAAATTTCGTAAACTTCTTTCGCATAGGTTTGCGTTTTCCATTAAAAAACCTCTGCAGATTTTATTTCCAAACGAAAAATCATAAATCTCAAGATACGAGAAATCATGTAACCAGTACTGCTAAGTAGACTTTTTCTTTCTTTTTTTTTTATTACTGCAAGGGGGTTGACAAGAACTTAATAATGATTTTTTACCTTATATCCTTTTTATACTAATGATTAAGAATTTCTCATACTTTTTAAAAGTTTTAATGAATTACCAATTTATTCAGCAAATCCTGTATGATAATCCGGCCATGGGCTTGGAGATAGATAGCCGTCAGGAAGAAGAGGTAAGGATGGAGTAGAGGAAGGGAAAGCGTTATGTCTAAATCTGCGAGGGTCCAGTAGGCTGACCAGCTCGTCGTCTTTTTTTCACTCGGCCACACACGAACACTGTCCCTCCCTCCTCCGGTTATCGCTAATATATCAGCCCTTTTATTCTTATTATACCTCTACAATTTTTAAATGTTTATATTATATTATTTATATATTCAACATAGGCTAAAATAGTACGTTGTTTCCCTTGTAGCGTTAAAATTTAGGAGAGACTAAGTAAATATACCAAACAAATTCAAAAATGCTTACAATTTTTTTTCTCACCGTAATATGAAGGAAAATTAAGGTGTGTGCTTTAGACCATACGATAGAAGTGAAAACGTCAACAAGGCGAGATTAGTAATATGAAATATAAATTATAAATAACTGCTCATTATAAAGAGGATGGAATGCAGAACATTTCCCTCGCTTACAGCATTTCCCATTCTCCATTTCCCTTCTCTAATACCGATTCCCGTTAAGATAAAATTTTGAATAATTACTCATTAAAAAGAGGATCAAACGACGAACATTTCCCTCGTCTAAAGTATGCAGGTCCGATTTTTAGTTTCTGAGATATTTTAATCTAAATCTTCAATAAAACTCGTTATCGTTTGGTTTTCGACACTATTTTTTACATTTCGCCTCTCTAACACTCTAACATAACGCCTCTCTGTTATACATTCAATTGATAGTTTGACGTAAAGGAAATTAATTATTTCCTCCATATCCTAAAGAATGATCCTAATCTACTAAAAGCCAAGTTTTATCTACAGACGAAGCAAGAAGAGCGATGTTCCGAGGACACGA